GCCCGCGATCTTGCAATACTGTGATTGCACTCTCCCACATGATTGCACCTCGTTGCAAGCATGCGCTTTCTGAGGAACGCCGTGCGATGCTGCTCTCTTCTCGGGGCGAGGACGAGGGACAGGAGGAAATGCATTGTCGACAACTCCTGTGCAGTCTGTGTCTCTCGTTGTCCCTGTTACTCTCCTTCCAAGACAGCCGCCTTGCCGTCTTTGTGGCACGGGCGCATGGGTTGCAGCTGCCCTCGTCGGGCAAGCTCCTCGGGTCCGTCTTCCCCCACTTACGAGGAGCAAGCAGGCTTCTCAAAAGCCTGGGGCGATCTCGCGGAATCACATGCCTTCAAGATTGCACAGAGAGAAGGTTCATTTCGATCGGTTCGATCTGGTTCGGTGTCGGCTCTGGCTGGCCCTATCCGATTCCATTCCGATGCTCCGACGATCCCATGCGACCCGTTGCATGGCGTTGTCGTGCACCCTGGCGCAGCCGATCCGATCCGACGTCAACCCCGCGCGACGCACATGTTGCCTCGACCCGCTTGCCCGATTCGACCTCGACCGATTTGGCTTGAGCTCCCAACGTGTTTCCGTCCGCTGCTCTCTTTCTCTCTCTCTCTCTCTCTCTCTCTCAGAGCTCAGACACCGGCCCATCCACGGCCAGACACGCTGCAATCACTGGCCCAGGGGCGGCAACGCACCGCCCGGGGCACGACCGTGAATTTGCCGGGCGCCGGGTCTGGACCAGGCCAGGCCGTGAACATCCTGAGCACGGCCTGGGCAGGGGCGGAGGCATGGTCGAAGAGTTCTTAGAGGACGATTACAGTCAATGAGTGATGCTGCGCGTGATAATGTTATGGCCAGACTGTGGCGACGGCGACGGCGGCGGCGACCACTGACGACGCCGGCGGCGACGATAACGGCGACAGCGACGACGGCGACGCCGACGGCGACGGTGACGGCGACATCGACGACGACGACGACGACGACGACGACGGCGCCTGCGAAGGCGCCGACGACGACGCTGGCGGCGAAGGGCGACGGCAACGGTGGCAATGGCAGTGGCGGCGGCGATGGCGACGGTGACGGCACCAGCGAAGGCGACGGCTGGGACGGAGAGGACGGCAACGGCGAAAACCACGCTGGCGGCGGCAAGAGCGGCGACGGCGTTAACCACGGCGGCGACGACGATAGCGGAGACGGCGACGTTCCCGACGGCGACAGCGACGTCGGCGACGTTGTTGTCAGCGACGTCACAGCCCTTGTTTTCTTGTCGGTTTGCTGCAAGGCTCGCGCTCGGTAAGAGTGCAGTGCTGGAGCGCACACCGTGGGCTGCTGAAAAGTTCGCGCTCGATACAAATCCAGTAGTGGAGCGCACCGTTTGTTTCGGGATGGTTTGCTGGAGCGCCCTCATTTGATAATAAGAAGCAGGCTACAGACTCAGCGAGGATCAAAGCGTGAAAATCGTCTGAGATATGACGCTACCGTGTGCCGTATACACATGCGCTTTGAATTTGCCCCAGCGACATTCTTACACTGACTATCGGCACCGCCGCAACGTACCTGGCACGACCAAGGTGGGGGTGTCGTGAATTGGTATTCCTGTCGCAGCTCCTCCTCCTCCTCCTGCTGCTTGGCGAAGGGCCCAACCTTCTGCAGATGATTATAGCGCAGAGAGTTGCCCTCTCCTCAAATACTACGCGCTGCGGGAGGGTTCGATGGAGCTGGGACTCGATCGAATAGCGCGATCCACGAGGGGGGTTGCCGACGTGGGCAGAAACACACAATTCGAAATCTTTCCCCTGGGCAATAGGTGGAGCTCCCTCTGGGGCACGATCCGCGTGAGTGGTGTGCCGAAATGGGCGTGGCGACGCTATGCGGACGCACTCACTGAGGCCATGGGCCATGGGTTTAGCTTCCCATGGGGCATGATCCGCGTGAGTGGGGCTCCAAAACGGGCAGGGCGACGCCATGATGAGGCCGTACATGGAGCTCCCTATGGGACACGATCCCTTTGAGGGGAGGCTCCCTATGGGACAGGATCCCCTTGAGGGGAGCAGTGCCGACATAAGCGTGGCGACGCCATGGGGGGGGGGCCCTCACTGGGGCCAAAGATGGAGCTCCCTGTGGGGCACAGAACGTGTGAAGGAGTGTGCCAGAATGGGCGTGGCGACGCCATGTGGGAGCCCTCACTGGGGCCGTCGATGGAGTTACATGCGTGGCACGATCCGTGCAAGGGGTGTGCCAAACCGGGCGGGGCGACGACATGCTGGCGCCCGCACTGCGGCCGAGTAGATGGAGCTCCCTATGGGGCACGATCCTCGTGAGGGGAGTGCCGAGAATGGCGACGCCATGCTTTCGCCCTCATTGGGGCATTCCGCGCGGGGTGTGCGCCCACATGGGCTTCTGGGGGCACGAAGCGTGTGAGAGGTGCGCAGACAAGGGTAGGCAGACGGAGAGCAGAGTCAGAGACAGGAGGAGCAGGAGGAGGGGGAGGAGATGGAGGAGTGAGGAGATGCACGGCGCTGTGGATTCCGAACCAGGACCCAGCAACACAAGAGGGTTGGGAACAAGAACGCAGCACCACAGGAGGGTCGCAAAAGAAAGGGAGGATAGTCAGGATGAGGTGAGGTGGGAGGAGAAGGAGAAGTGAAGAGACACGCGGCGTTATAGATGTTCCCACGAGGACTCGACAACACAGGACGGCGGTGGTGAAACAAAATCCTCGACTCAACGATTTTCTTTGAGCCCAGGCGGGGGTCTTGCTCCCCCCAGCGCGCATCCTGAGCCGGTAAAACACACACACACACACACACACACACACACACACACCGCACACACACACACACACACCAGTCGCACACACACACACACACACACACACACACACACACACACACGCGCACGCACGCACGCACGCACGCACACACACACACACACACACACACACACACACACACACACACACACACGCACGCACGCACGCACGCACGCACGCACGCACGCACGCACGCACGCACACGCACATACGCACACGCAAAGCACAAAACAATACCAGCGGCATGTTGGGGAATGGCCGACAGCCTGCCGGTTCTCGCGGCGGCGTTGGCCTGGATCCTTGCCGGGCCATCGAGCAGCTGGTTTTCGAGCAGCTGGTCTTCTGGGGATGCGGAGCGTTCCCTCCCCCCACAGGTGGTCTCGCGTGGTGGTCTGGTTGCCCTCCTCCTCGGCCCTCCTCCCTCCCCCCCCTCCTCCCTCCTCCTCCCTCCTCCTCCTCCTCCTCCTCCTCCTCCCCCTCCTCCTCGTCGTCCTCCTCTCCCCCCGGATGGCGCGCCTCCAGGCGACGGCAGTTGCGTTTTCTGCGTGCTCCACCTCTCCCGTCGGCAGGGGCGAGAACACACAGACACAATGAGTCGTACGTCGATCCCCAGGAAAATCGGGCCGGGCGAAAGGGGGGGATTGGGAAAGGGGGGGTTACGAAATTTGCTGCATGCAGCTGGTTTTGGCCTCACGGAGGGGGCCATTCCTCGATACATGGCCGCCTCCCGGCACCGGGAGGCGACGGGAAAATCAGCTTCAAACCCCCCCTTTGCTATCCCCCCCTTTCGCCCGACCCGAGAAAATGTGGGACAACATGGGAAGTGTGGGGGGGGGGGGGACGACGAAAGCCCAGAGAACATAGGAGAAGGTGGGGAATCCTGGGAGTTGTGTCTATTCGCTGGCGTGCCCCTGGGCCACTCTTTAAACTTCCTCGCCGCCACCAGGAGCTGGTCGGGCCCCCGGGGGCCCGCCACGGAGCCCCCGCTCCGCCTCCAGAGGTCACGCACCCTGCGTCGCGCCCCGGGCAGGGTGCGCTCCCCACTGGGGGGGGAGGAGGTGGGGCCTGGCATCGCTCGGACGTGTGCATTTTTCTTTCGGCGAGGACCATCGAGGAGCATCCTTGATCATTTGGCGAAAAAAGCCCGCACGAAACCCAAAAAAACACAGGCCATGGACGTCCGAGCGATGGCCAGTGGGGGCGCTTATCCCGGCACGCGCCAGCGCCCCAAGGGCCTGATGTGAAGTCGGGCATGTCCCTCTACAGGAGGCATCTCCGAACACAGTCCAGAACGTAATCATGCGGGGACGATGTGTTTCTATTATTTTTGGTGGATCATGTTTGCATATGTTTCGGCTCTTCTTGGTGCAAGCTCCTCAGCACCGCCTGCACCCCACGCCCTCCGGCCGCCTGAGGCCCCGCCCGCCTGCGCTCTGTCTCCCCAAGTAATGCTTTGAAAATTTGCGCGGCCCGCCTAGCTCTTAACCGGAAGAGGCTCGCTCTCGACCCGCAGACCAAAAATGTTTAGGTTGTTCTCGAAGTTTCTTGCAGAACACGCCTGTAGGAGGACATGCCCGACCTCAGCCTGCTGTGATCGGACCACCGGGACCTGTCGTGCAGCCTGGCGCGGCACGACCCTCCGGGCCTCCCCAGAGATTTCAGGAGGCAAAGAAACACACAGACACAATTAATCGTCGATCCCCCCAAAAATATAGGAAAATATGGGAAGTGGGGGAAAGACGAAAACCCAGAGGATATGGGAAAATATTGGGATTTGTTTGATTTGTGTGTATTTATTTGTGTGTCCTGGGGTCCCTTCAAGATTGCCGGAGGCCGCCGCCTCCCCGCCGCGGCCAGGCCGGCTGTGCACGGCCGCCTGCTCGCCCCGTCGCCCCCTCCACCTTCCCTCCAGGCTTCTTAGATTCAGGAGAGAAAAAACACACAGACACAATTAATCGTCGTTTCCCGAGAGAAGATGGGAAAATATTGGAAGTGGGGGGAAGACAAAAACCCAGACAATAGAGGAACATATGGGAAATACTTGTGTGTCCCAGGGCCCCTTCATAGATAGGGGTCGGAGAAGGTGGGGTCGGAGGATCGCGCCGCCCCTGCGATGCATCATGCCTCGGCGGCGCGGCTCGATGCGGGGCCCGATCTCCTCCACGCCGACGTCGCCGATGCATCGCCGACG